AGGATGCCTTTTTTTTTCAGGCCTCGAAGGATGGCTGTAAAAATAATGCGTGTTTTACTAGAGTCCCGAATCCTGTAAAATTAGCTCTTCCTCTAAGTTGCAAGTCATGGAACAGAGGCTTAAGATCATGAAACAGCGGATACAATGCTCACTGGCTTCCCAGAGCCGCATCTACCTGAGCCTAACAGCATTCTCACTAGGGCTCTGTCTAAGCAGAAGACAGTGAACACATACAGCCAAGGCCTTTGCACACAAGCCTAAAGAAACCCTTTCTCTAGCCAGGAGCGGAGTCCACACCTGTAACCTTGAAGGCAGGAAGCACACCAAAGTGGGTCTCTCAAGAGAGCCTGCTTGGACCAAGTTCTGAGACAACTAGGACTCCATGATGACACCTGGCTTCAAACCGATCCACCTCGCCACCTCCACACAGGGTGTGATAGGTCATGCCTACAATGTGAGCGCTAGCATTCGGTAGGGATGAAGTAGGGGGACGGCTTTGAATCTGAGGTCAGTCTGGGCTGCAGAGTGAGATGCTGTCACAAAAGCACTTCTCCCCTGAAAATGCACCACCACCAACCACCAAGGGAAATTCCCACTGCTGAGCTAAGCTGGGGCGGGTGGGGCTACACAATCTCAGGGGCATTACTGTAAAAGCATGGCAACTCCCTCTCCCCCCGTACCGGCAGGAAACTTCATCTCCTTAAAACTCTTGATGGGTGGTGGGATACCATCTCCCTCTACCAGGATGTGGTACTTCTTCCGAACACGCTCATGCCGCTCTTCCGACATGCTCAGGACGTATCGTGGGGGTGTCCAACTATAGGTAGCCAGCGCACAGGAGAGGTCAGCAAGGGCTGTTAGTATAGCTGGGCCTCGGGGTATCGCTGCCAGTCTTCAGCCACAAAGACATACCTGGTTTTGATTGGATCATCGTATGTGATGCCCTTGGCCATTTCCTTCACTGACATCAAAGCTGGGGAGACAAACAAAGCTCAATGGGGTGACTGCTTCCCAAAGGCTGGACCCCTTGAGGTTGGGAGGAGGTGGCTCAGCCTACCTCCTCTTTGCACCAGCTATAATCTTACCTCGGCCTTCAGCCACGCTCTCCAGAATCTTTTCTTCTTCCTTCAGTTGCTTTTCCTTTGCCGACTCCTTGCGCGCTGACAAAAGAAGGCAAAGATGTCAGAGAGTCAGAAGCACTGCGCCTCAGGCTCAGTCCCTCTCCTTCCTGCTCAGCCCACCTTCAGCCTTCTCTTTGAGGTGCTGGTGCTGATCCAGGAGGCTGACGTTGGACTGAGGGCCCAACGGGATGTCGTCCTCATCTCCTCGGGGCTCACTGCCACTGTCCTGCTGCTCTTCTTCCGCAGCTCCCTTGCGTCTTCGCTGTAGCAGCTTCTGGAGCTGAGGTCCCACCAGTGTCCCTCAGAGTCAAGCCCCAGACTCGGTAGGTGGGGAACATAGCACAGGGAGGGTGGGTGCCAGGTCCCTGGCTCTTTCCAGGAAGGGAATCGTGTGCACGGAAGCGCACATCTGTCCGGAACTCAGACAGGTTCCCCAGTCCCTCGTCTGTCGCGTCCCAAGGTCTACCCCTCCCGCTGACACGCCCCCCCACCCCCGTTGCCCCTGGAATGCGGCCCCTCACCAGTAACTGCCGGCGCTGCCGCAACGGCACGTAGGGTACGTAGTCCTCGTCGTCTTCATCCTCATCCTCGGAGCGGCTCCCTCCCGCGGCCGCGTCGTCCGCGCGAGCCCGCTGCAGAGACCCGAGTCAGCCCGCGGCCCCTCCCCCTGCCCGATCCCCCTCGCGTGGACCCAGCCTCATCCCCACCTTCCGCTCGGGTTCCGACTCCTCCATCGTTGGTCGCACACATGCGCAATGCCGGGAGGGGGGGGGGAACACGTCTAATGTGAGCTCCAATCAGACGGGAAAAAACTGTAGCTGTCGCCTAGCAACTTCATGAGCGACGGATCGCATACAGGGACAAACTTCCTCCTGCGCTTCTGTGGGCGGGCGCAAGAGTCTATTCAATGTGTCTGACAAAGCTTTATGGGTAACGGGAGGACTTGAGGCATGCGCAGAAGACTCAAGTTGTGTCGTGAAATAACCCGCTGAACAGCGGAGCAAGGCGTTCTTCCCCCGCATGCGCCCGGGGAGAATGCTGCTCCCTCCGGTGGCCAGGAGTCCCAGCCCAGCTAGAGGGGTTCCCGGGGCTGCCAAAGTAGATGAAACTCCTCACCCTAGGGGTCAGAAATAAAATAATGGTCACGGTGAGTTTGTTTGTTTTTGAGATAGGGCTTCCTCTGTGAAGCCCTGGCTGTCGTGGAACTCACAGATCCACCTGCCTCTGCCTCCTGAGTGCAGGGGTTAAAGACCTGGCAGTCAGTGTTACCGAAACCCTATTGTCAGTGACATAAATCTCAGAGTGACTGGCTCAGGGCTTCCCGGGAAGTGAAGGAATCGCCACCCAGAGAGCAGGAAGGGGCTGAGCATATAGAGGAAGTACACAAATTCTTCAGGGCACAGAGATATCCAAGGCTGGAGTGAGGTAGGGGGAAAGGAGACTGGGCTCAGGATGTCATGAGTCCAACTTAACTCTAAGGAGGAAGGATAGTTAGAGCTGGCCGCCCCTTCCTAAGCCTGTATCTGCAATGGATGCATTGATCACCGTACAGTAGGGCCAGAGAGGGAACAGAGGGACAGGACACGGTGTGAAGACTATCAGGATTTGTTTTTCTAGTGAAGGCTGCCCTCAAACTTGTGGTCTTCCTGCCTCAACTCAGGAGTGCTGGGTTGTGTGTGCCACAATACCTAGCATGGAATCCCACAAAGGCAATGCAAATCAGTCTTCAAGATATTCAAGGCTTCTCTTGTAGGAGGTAAAGGATGAGCAGGGATTAAGAGAAAAAAGCCAGATGTGGTGGCACATGCCTTTAATTCCAACACTCTTGGCAAGCCAGATTTCTAAATATGAGGCCAGCTGGGACAACACAGTGAATCCCCCCCCCCTTTCTGTTTCAAGACAGGGTTTCTCTGTGTAAACAATCCTGACTGTCCTGGAACTTGCTTTGTAGACCACACTTTCTGAGCTCCACCTGCCTCTGGGACTAAAGGTGTGTAGCCGTTGGAAGTGTGAGAAACATAGCTAACAAATACAGAGAAAGGCTTCACCTGCTTTCCCTTCCTTGTACTGGCCAAGAGGCAGATTTGTGAGCCTGTGGTCTGTGTCCTGTTCTCTTTCTTTAGAAGGAAACTGACACCCAGTCCCATGATGGGGCCTGGAGGACGAGGAAGGGCCCATCTATGAAGGGCTCTTTGCCTGCAGAGTACACCTCAAGCTATCCACAGAAGCTCAGTTAAGAATGGCATTTAAAGCCGGGCGGTGGTGGCGCACGCCTTTAATCCCAGCACTCGGGAGGCAGAGGCAGGCGGATCTCTGTGAGTTCGAGACCAGCCTGGTCTATAAGAGCTAGTTCCAGGACAGGCTCCAAAACCACAGAGAAATCCTGTCTCGAAAAACCAAAAAAAAAAAAAAAAAAAAGAAGAAGAAGAAGAATGGCATTTAGGGAGGGGTGGCTCAGGGGTTAAGAGCATTTATTCTTGCAGAGAGCCCAGGTTTTATTTTCAGCACCCACATAGCATCTCACACATTTACACCTCCAGTCCCATGGAATAAAAATGTCCTCTACTGACCTTGGCCACTAGGCTCATGGTGCAAGAAAAACACTCAAGATTACACATAAATCTTAAAGGAGAAAAAAAAAAAGACATTTAGGCCTGGTGTGGTGGAACACACCTTAGTTACAGCTCTCCAGAAGCAGAGACAGGAGGATCTCTCCGAGTTTGAAGCCAGCTGCCTACATAGCAAGTTCCAGGACAGCTGGGGCTACAAAACCAAAAAAGAATTGCATTTAATAGAAAATAACTACTCTAGAGCAGTTTGGACATAGCATATGTGAGGTATTTTTTTAATCAAACCTATTATGTTTAAATATAAATTGGGAAGATAGACGTGGATTCCTTGACTTTATAGATGTTCATTATCTGTTAAAGTAGGAAGACCATATCCAACCTGCATCCACATGACCATCTTGAAAGGGGAAAACTAAGTGTAAGGCTTAATATTGGAATCAACTAACAGACATACCTCTGGGTGGGTCTGTAAGGGCATTTCCAGGAAGGATTTACTGAGGGGTGAAGACCCTCCTCCATTTCCTAGGTGAGAGTCTGGACATAAGGAGATCCAAGGGAAAAGCTTTCTGCCTGTTGGTTTTCACCTCATAGGCTAGTCAAAGCCTAGCTTCTGTCTTCCAACGTGGACTAAAGATCAGGTCTCTCCTGGGGGCTGCAGAGATGACTCAGCAGTTAAAAGCACTGTCTACTCTTCAGAGGACCCAGGTTCAATACCCAGTGTCCACATGGCAGCTCACAACCAACTGTAACTTTAGTCCCAGGGGATTCAGTACCTTCCTCTGACCTCCACAGGCACTGTATGCATGTGGCACACAAACATACATGTGGACAAAACACCCATACACATAAATAAAAATTAGTAAAAAGAATTAAAGATCAGTGGCTCTCCAGGATTCCTCCAGGCCTTCAGCACTAGACTGGAATTGCTTCATGGACTGAACAGGTACTGGGTTCTCAGCCTCTCTAATGTCCAGAGAGGCAGCCATTGTTGAACTATTCAGCCCATACAGTGTTCCAGGCTCACGTACCTGGAAGGGCCGGGACATGGGAGCCACAGCCTTGTACTTAGCACACTTGACTAGACTGTTCAGTAGTTACTTTACTGCCTTAGCCTTAGTTTCCTCCTCTTTAAATTGGACTATCAGTCCCATTGAGGATGTTTGGAGGACTCTTAAGGGTTAAGTGAAAATACGACTGACTGTTTCTACAGAGGACTGCTCCATAATGGTGGCCAAGACAGACCCTCTGTGTCTGAGTACACACATCCCACCACTCCCCATTCAGACCAGCAAATCACCATCACACTAAATTCTGTGTCCAAATGTTGCTTTATCTTTCCACATGGAAGATATTCACAGTATCAAAAGTAAAGAATTAAAAAAACAAAACAAACAAAACAAAACAACAAAATCAAACACAAAGAGAGCAGTGTTGGGCCAGCAGTCCCATCAGCCCTTGGCTCACAGGCCAGCCCATCCCTGGGCTCTGAGTGTCAAGGCTGCTTAGCACCAGGAAGCGGCTCTGCTGAGGTCCTGAAAGGCCCCGCACAGCATGGCATCCGTTCCGCTTTTGGTTGGTCAGGGTGGTGGGAGCAGGGAGGGTCAACTCAGGTGGAAGGAGGAGAAACTACATCTGCAGCTTGAGTTGGGGCCTTGAGATGACCTGAAGTCGACCTGGCAGGGCTGAGGGGGAAAAAATGGCAGAATCACAGTGAGAACCAGCTCCAGCCCCACCTCTCCCCACCCTGGCCCCAGCCTGCCCTGCTGGCTCTGGGTTGGGAGTGGATCACGGCACCAGCCTAGGGCCAGACCCCTGCTGGCTCTGGGCTCCTGTGGAGGTGGTAGTAAGTTTTACTTTTGTTTCTTGGACTGAAAACAAACAATAGACTTCCCGAATGGAGATCTGAAAATTTCCAGTGCAAAATGAAATTTAAAACTGTCCAGAGGTTCTGTCAACATATGGGACAATCTTTGAGAAACCAAACCTACAGCACATCTGTCCAGGTCAGGGCTGTGTGAGAGCTTGGTTGCTGGTTTTCTCACTAACAGATAACTGGTGGAGGCGAGTTCAGACTCCTGAGGTTCCAAGGAGACAGCCTGGGCTGGGCCCTGAGCCTGCCAGCCCTGCAGGCTCCTATACTGCCTGAAGATAATGGGGAGACTCAAGGAAGTGCACTCATGAGGGAGGAGGGCCATGGCCTTCCTATCTTGGAAGAGATCAGCCAAGGCAGAAGATGGCTAGATTAGGTTTCCTAGAAAACCAGTGAAATGTGGGTTTAGTGAGGAGGTGTGACCTTTTTCTTTCCATAGGGGCAACAGATAAATGCCTGGGGTCTTTGCTATTCCTTGTTCTTGTGGTGGTGGGGAAGAAAGCTAAGAGGGTGCTTTAGCCTTACAAGATGCCCTTGGGGTGTGGTAATCCTGGTGTGGCCCAGGGAGCCTGAGGTGACTCTGAAGAGAACAGTGTAACTAGGAGGCAGCCTGTGCATGACACAGGGGCCTCAACTCTGTAGACTTCAGGCCCCTGTACTGCCCTGGGGAGCTGTTCAGGGTCCAGGAAGCTCACCACTTCACCCCCCCCCCCCCCGCCCCCAAGAAGTTTTAAAGCTCAAGAGTCCCCATATAGGAATCAGGCCACCTGTCCAAGCCTCCCACTGTAGTCAGGGTAGTTATGTAGTTTTCAGACAAAAAGACATGATACAAGTACACAGCACAAGATTAATACATGTAACTGTGGGGCTCAGACATAAAAAGCAGGCTGCTCTCCCAAAGGAACCGTGTTCAATTCCTAACACCCACATGGAAGCTTGTAACTATCTGTAACTGGGATTTGACACCTCATAGACATACATAAAGGCAAAACACCAACGCACATAAAAATAAATTATTTAAAAAAAAAAAGGCAAGCTAGAGAGATGACTTAGAGAGATTAAGAGCACTAGCTGCTTTTCTAGAGGTCCTGAATTTGATTCCCAGCAACCACATGGTGGCTCACAACCATCTGTAATGAGATCTGGTGCCCTCTTCTGTCATGCAGGCATACATGCAGCAGAACACTACACATAATAAATAAATAAACAAATCTTTAAGAAAAAAAAAAGACATGGACACGAATAGCCTTGGGCCTCAATACAGTGTGCAAACTGCCTAGATCTTCTGCAGTAAAGTTCCAGTTTTGGGCACATAGCCCGAAAACATTATCCAATATATCAACAGTTCAGATAAATGGATTTGTCCAGGTATCTGGAGGGAAGGCCAGTTTCTTCCCAAAAGCAGCTTAGTTACTAGTTCCTCAGGGAACATGTCCTACTGGGGAAGAACCCTCCCTAACACCTCCATGATCAGCAGTGACCTAGAAGGTCTTGCTCTAGCTCACCTGCCCTCACTGTTCCCTTGGGGATGGTCTCTTCTACTGCTTACTGCACTGAGGAAGCAAATGGGACTGAAGCGCAATGCCCAAGCACAGTGCAACTCTGTTAAGTCTACTGGGAGGGAGGCTGAGCCCCAGTGATGCCATCCTAAGAAGCAGACCTTCAGGAGAAGCAGCAGCAAGATTCAGGGAGGGCCTGACCAGGGAGGTGTGATGGAGAACAGAGGCCTTGGGTGCGTAGACACACAGAAAAAGACAGGGTGCAGATCATCAGTCACTGAGCTTGGATATATGGTTGCTACAGGGGTGAAGAAAGTGGGACAGCAAGCCTCAAATCTTCCTCCCCAGACACAGAAATAAGAATGACTTAGAGGGCCGGGCGGTGGTAGCGCACGCCTTTAATCCCAGCACTCGGGAGGCAGAGGCAGGCGGATCTCTGTGAGTTCGAGACCAGCCTGGTCTACAAGAGCTAGTTCCAGGACAAGCTCCAAAACCACAGAGAAACCCTGTCTCGAAAAACCAAAAAAAAAAAAAAAAAAAAAAAAAAAGAATGACTTAGAGGGGCACAGAAAGTGGCGGGTCATGGGAAAAACAGGGTGCAAGTACCAGCTGAAGTCTCTGCCTCACTGAGCTGTGCTAGGAGTGGTTTTCTTGAGGCTGAAGTTGGTCCAGTTCACAGCAACTTTCTGACGAGTTTGCTTTGCAGAATCCAAACAGAACCTATTGGGTTTAGGAAATATGGATAAAACATAGTAAGAAGTTCTCTCCTGTTCTCACTGGATCCTGCCACTACACAAAATATGTCCCATTCACTAAGAAACCAGCTGCAAGTCCAGAATGTTAATGTATACTATAATCCCAGCACTCGGGACTGCCATGAATTTGAGGCCTAGCTCTAAACAGGCACAGCTGTTTCCAGGTGTTTGGGTTTGACAGGCACGAGAACCTCATTGGCTTGAGAACTGCGCACAAGGCAAGAGGACAATGCATGACAACTGCTGTGAGACACAACTTGTCCATCATCTCTACCTTACCCTCGCTGGACTGAGCTGCTGTGAGACACAAACTGTCCATCATCTCTACCTTACCCTCACTGGACTGAGCTGCTGTGAGACACAAACTGTCCATCATCTCTACCTTACCCTTGCTGGACTGAGACTTACCCTCAGACTTTTGTACACATTGCCCTGTGGCTGTCATTTTACTTGGTGAGCTCAGCTCAGTCTTATTCACCTTTCCCAGAAAGGCCTCCTCAATTTCCAGGTTGGTGTGAAGGTACTGCACCCCCCACAACAGTGTTCCCATCATGCCTTTATGCCTCCACCAGTACCAATCAGTGAGCTTTGTATTTCTGAATCTCTCCTTGTCTAGACTGTTCCTAGATTCTGACCCACTAGAAGAGAAGTACAAATAAAACCCCAGCACTTGGGAATCAGAGAATGGAATCTCTGGGAGTTTGAAGCCTGCCTAGTTTACATAATGAGTTCTAGGGCAGCTAGGGCTACACTAAAACCCTGTCTGAAATGAGCAAGAAATAAAAATATATAAAGTTGGAAAAAGTCCTAGTTTCCCATCCCAACATGGCTCCTTCTCCTTATGCCTTGCACCTTCTCAGATGCTAGATCTTGCCAAGTGGCTACCTGGGTTCAGGCTACATGGAAGGCCTGGAAGGGCAGTGAGGATCCCCATGGACTTTCTCAGGCCTGAGACACAACATGGGGCTCAGGAATGGACATGAGGAGAAGCAGGCAGCATATACCTACCTCTTGAAGTACTCCACCTCGCGGTCTGTCTCATCCATCTCCACCCCATCCATGTCCTTGGGCAGGAACACATCGTCTAGGAAGACACAGCCAGGAGGGCTCAGTGCCCATGGCCAGGCCTCTGGGGTCATGCTGGGGGCAGTGCTGCCCATACACGGGGACTGCCCTCCACCCCGTGGCTTGGTTGGGGTGGGGGTTCAGCCACTTGGTTCCTGGTGCACTCACCCAAGGAGGAGGCTGACTTCTCCTGTTTGCGGCTCCGGCGGCTGCGACCTTTGCCCTGGGACAAGCTCTGTGGCCTTGCTGGGCCTGGGGTCTGCACAGATTCCTGCTCCAGAGTCCGTGCCTTGGCCTCACCTGGCCAGTTCTGCCAGGAACTACCCTTCTTCTCAATTTTGGGGTTGTCAGCCCAACTTGGTCCTGGCCGGCTCCCCTGGCTGCCCTCTCCAGGTTCTGCGCAATTACCCACTTTGGCAGGCTCTGGGCCCTTGCCTGGCTGCTTGGAGTTAGATGTCTGGCTCTTGGCACTGGGCGACTCTAGGTTGCCTGGGGCCGGACCAGCCTCACTCTTCTTTGCTTGATTTCCCTGTTTCTTGCTCTTTCTTTGCTTCCCAACTGTGGTCACAGGCTCAGCCAGTTCCTGCTTGCAACTGGGAACTTCCTTCGAACTTTCCTCAGAGCTTAGGTTGCCTGGCTTGGGTGTCTTGACCCAGATCACCCGGGACAAGTTGGGCACAGTGTTGAGTCGTCTCACGAGCCCATTCTCAGGGGTACCAGGAGGGGGACCCCGTACCTCTGTCCATGCTGGGTGAGGGGCTCTTCTTTCTGCCCATGGTATGACTGGCTCACTTGGAGCTTGTAATGTGTGGCTCTGAAGGGAGCCTAAAGTCAAAGGGGACAGGTCAAGGTTGATATCAGGCTGTTGCTCAGAGGAGCCATTGAGGTCTGAGGGGGGTAGAGTCTGGGACTGAGGTTCCACAGTCCCCTCCTTAAAGCCACCGCTATCCAGGTTGAGCTCACACATGCTGAAACTGGCACAGAGGGAGTCTTTGACGGTGCTCTTGATCTCCTGTAAGCGGCTACTCAAGAAGTTATTGACCCGGTCCAGTTCCTGGTCAGGCCACTCTAGGAGCCTCTCCCTGGCAGGTCTTAGCTCCTGGCTTCCAGAAACACGATTCACCTGCTTCAGAGCTTCTGTTGCCAACCGGGCCTTCTCTTTTTCCTGCCAATAGAAGAGGCAGTTTCAACAGAGGTCTGCAGGTGATCAGGTACAATGTGACACCTGACACATCAGCCTGGAACCTAGCTTTGCCAATCACTTGCTGAAGGCAGAGACTTGTGATCTCCACATGGTCCCCAACCCTGCAGGAATGAGGGGCAATGAAACCAGACAATATCAAGTTTGAGGGTGAAGTACAAATAAGCTCCCGAGGATAGGGTTTTGACAGTTTATTCATCATGAGCCTGTGTCAGTTCTGGGCCTGAAAAGGATAGGATCTGCTACCTAGGCAAGAGTGAGCATGAGCTGGAGTAATTCACTCACTCCCCAGTTAGGCCCAGTGGACTCATCTGCAAAGTTGAGACTGGTGCGGGAGAATTATCTGTAACCTGTCAATCGTGTTTTAAATAAACGCTGATTGGCCAGGCAGGAAGTATAGGCGGAAAAACCAGACAGGAAGTAGAAATGATACGAGAACAGGAGAATTCTAGAAAGGAGGAAGTTGATTCCTACCAGTCCTGCACAGACCACCGAAGAAGCAGCATGTGACCTGCCAGCTGAAAAAGGTACCGAGCCATATGGCAAAACTAGATCAGAATAATTGGTTAATATAAGCTACAAGAGCTAATAAGTAGCCTGAGCTAATGGGCCAATCAGCTTTATAACTTATAGAGTTCTCTGTGTGATTTTCTTTGGGGCTTGCCGGCTGTGGGGTACCGGGAGGGTCAGAAACCCCAACAAGTAGGCCCCATTTGTGTTACATGAGACAATAATTCTGGAAAAAAGAACAAAGTGAGGATACATGACTATGGACAGGCAGTCTCTTCAATTCTGTAGGTAGCAGGGGAAATATTATTATGCAGTCTTAAAGGAAATAAGATGTAGGAACTGAAAGGCTCTGAGTGGTTGACTAGTGCTGTATTAATGAAGAGGGACATCTCTTAAAAAGGTCTCTCACTGGGCTTGAGAGATGGCTCAGTGGATAAGAACACTGGCTATTCTTCCAGAGGTCCTAAGTTCAATTCCCAACAACCACATGGTGGCTCACAACCATCTGTAGTAGAGTCTGATGTCCTCTTCTGTCATAAAGGTGTATATGCAGATAGAGCACTCATATACATAAAATAAATAAGTCTTAAAAAAAGTCTCTCACTGCTCAGTCAGTTCCATATGTCCAAGTTCACATCTAAAGAGTCTTAGAGCATACCATGATCAGTGACAGGGCCCTCACAAGATTAAAGAGCTTGGGTGAAGACTGGGAGGCCTCAGTCCCAAGAAGTTGGGTCCTGTAAATCATCTTTGGCAGACTTGAATCAGAACGGAAATCGGTCTGTGGGCTTAGTTATCCAAATTTGTCTGCCTAAACCCAAGAAACCAGAGGCTAAGAAGGCCTCTACAGGGAGCTAGGAGTCGGATGGGAGGGCTGTGGCAGGGCACCACCTCACGTATTTCCAACTGCCTTGCAAACTGAGGGGGAGACAGAGGGAAATGAACTGGAGAGAAAACTTCCCATCATCTCAGAATCAAGGTAAACATTGTGATCCTCGGCCCAGCGGGCAAGCGTATATTCTTAACTCTTCTGAACTCTGACTAAATACCTAAACTCAGCTTTCCTTAGTGTTCCTTGGACTAATCACTTCCTCTCTCTGAACCCTACCTTCCAAGTTTGTAATTTAGGAGAAAAAGTTGCTCTGAGGATGGCTATAAGGGTTGGTGCCAAGTCTCCTTCCCATGTGCCAGAACTCTGCCTACTCAGGTGAGCAGACATGGCCTGGAGCAGTGTACTGGAGACTGTAGGGATGGGCTCTCCCTGTCTCCTGAGTCAGCACAGCCTGGCTTCTGGTTGTTATGGATATGGAAGATTTTACTCACTCCAGAATGTTTGCTATTATGTCCAGAAAGTCTGGAAAGTACTGGTGTGAGCAGCGCCTCCTCATTACAAACACTGGCATCGAAAGGAGAAAGCACGGAAATGCACAACCCTGGCTCTGTGCAGCAAGTTGTTTTTAACCCCCACCATTGCCCTTGTTGCATCATATTGCCAAATTTACAGATGTGAACCTAACCTTGGGCAAGAATACAAAATTAGTTCAAGGTTAGGTGGCTAGTAAGAGGCAAAATCAGGATAGGGCAACAGGGATGACTGAGAAGTTCCAGACTTTTTAGTTTCATTTGCTCATTGACTGTACGTCAGTGGGCTAAGTTCTGCGGGTGCAGCTGGATACAAGACACATACATGGTCTCTGCTTCCCAGCTTCAGTCAGCCAAGGAAAAGAATCATAAATGGACTGTTTAATTCAGAGTGACAGTGTCAGATGCTACAGGGCAGAGAGTACAAGGTGCTGTTAACTCAGCCCGGGTCATCCGAGAGTTCCTGGATCGCTACTGAAGGGTGTGTGCAATTATCCTGGAAAAAAATGCGATAAATGCGTTCTAGGTGGAAGGAACTAGTAAAATCAGGGAAAATGGAAAAGCACATCAACAGGAAGCAAAAACTATGCAGAGGTACAGTTTTGTTTTTACCAGAGGAAGTGTGGTGCCTAGAGACCTTAGGAGAAAGGAAGGTAGGTTAGAAAGTAAGGCTGGAAGATGAAGCTGGTACGCTAAGCAGCAGCTGGATCCTAAGGAGCTCTGCAGGTTGTACAGAAGTCTGGGTCTGAGTCTGAGGCAGTCGGTGCTTACCAACTAAAGGCTCTAAAAGCAGACGCTGTGGGTGGAGAAAAGTGGACTGGTTTGAGCTGGGGGTGAGCAATTATCATGGAGAAGGATTTTTGTGGTTAGGCAGGAGGGTAAAATGACACATGTCCAGAAAACATTACCCACTGCTACAGTTGCTACAGAGGCCCCCATAAACCAAGCACCCACGTGCCAGGCTTCTGCCCAACTTTCCGTGCATCATTTCATTACATCCTCACAGCCATCTATGACCTAGGTTCTTGTCATTCTCATTTTATAGATGGAAAAACTGAGGCTTAGAGATTAAGTGATTTGCCCAAGGTCATACAGCAAGTGCGATCAAGCTGAGCTACAAACTGAAGTTCAATTCCAAGGCTCACTGCTTTTAGTCACAATGCACTTTCCCATGACAGTGGCCAGTGTTCAAGGTCAGGCTACAGGGTGAAGTGGCCCCCTTTACTGAACAGATAATGGAGAAGAAAAGGCAGGCCTCTTTTGTGACATACTGAGTTTGAGGTACCTGCAGGATGTTCCCAAAGAGGACCACTAGTTAGCAGAGATGCCAATGTCAAGTACAGGGTAATAATACTAATTAGATGGCTTCTCTTTCCCAGAGAAATGTGCTCTGCAAAGTCTAGGCAAGGGACAAGAACTCACAAATGAGAAAGAGGTCGGAGAGGTAGGTGAGAAATATGGAGAAGATGGTGACCCCACTGCTCCTTTCTAGGCCCTGCTTGCCTGAAAGCCAAGGAGTCAAAGACAAGGTTTAAAGGGGCGCACGAACAAAAGGGCAAAGGTCACTTAGTGAACAACTATGACAGGCACATAACCAAGACATAACTTGGACTTGGCAAGGGTGTGGATAACAGTCTTTGGTTAGGTGACAAGTGGGGAGTGAGAACAATGAACATGGATGTACGGCTTTCAAAAATTACCACTATGATGAAGGAAGCAAACAGGGAGAGAGCAGGAAAGGCTCCAAATTTCAGGAACTGTCTGCCTTTGATACGCAACAATGGGCACAAAGACATGGGATGGGAGCCAGACCAGAGGAGAGACTACAGATCTCTTTGGTAGAGTCTGGGTTGGATGGAGCCGGACATTTACCAATCAAAAGCTTTGAAAATAGAGCAGCAGCCTAAGGTGGGCAAAAAACAAAAACAAAAAACCAAAAAAACAAACAAAAACCAAAAAAGCCTATTGGGCTTGGGGTGGGAGAAGGACAACACTTCCTTTCGATGAGGAGGTGTGTCCAATGGTCTTTTTCTTGATGAAAACAGATGTGAACGTACTTACTAAAAAAAAAAAAAAAAAAACAAGGGAAGGCAGTTGAGAGCCTAGAGCTGGAGAAACAGTCTGACAAAGGGCCATGTGAATGAATGTGCATGACAAGGAACAGGACTGGGGACTACAGGTCAGCTGAGTGTCACATCAACACTGTCACATGCTACCTCTGGGTGTAGAAGGGGAGAGAGGATAGATAGGATGGGATGCAGTTTTTCTGAGCAGATGCGACAGATGGGCAACAGGCAAGGAAGTAACGAGAACTGGTAAGAAAGAGAGCGACTGAGTGATGGGTCAGATCACTTTCTCTTTACCAATACTCAGCTCAGGCGAGAGAGTGCTAGATTGGCCTCGGAAGAAACGAAAGCGTCAGATGACATTAAGTGGATAAAGAAGAATGGCTGTGAGGTTGCAGATGGCACAGAAAAGAGTGCAGCTTCAGAAGATCAGGGACTAGTCCCTAAAGGCAAGGAAAGAAAGTAATGTCTGAAAGTGAACAGATGCTTTGACCCATCTCCCGAGGTGGTAGAGCAAGCAGTCATCACTAAATACCTATGGGGAAGTTGGATTTTTTTGATGGCAGCCAAACTAGTTAAAACCAGCAGGGGAAGCTAATCTGGCACTGAGACCACCTATGTATGTTTGTCCTTACCTACAGGCTAGGTCTAGTAGACAGTGACTGTGCAGGGAGCTTAAGATCAGAAGGGTGTGATGAACCGCAGCCTAGAGAGATATATAAGTTGCAGGAGAAGTAGAACAGCAGACTCCCCCAGGGTGGTTGCAAAGCGGGGAACATCTGAACTGAGCCCTGGAGAGACATCATTCAGGAAAGGTGTATAGGTTTATAAAAGGCACCAGACCTGGGAACTACTGAGCATGCCCTCTGGGGACATGTTTAATGAGGCCAAAGACCACTGTAACCTACTGAACACCTCTGCAGAGCAAGTGGGCGGGAGCAATGGAAGGTTGAACATTCTATGACAGTAACAACAGGTTCACTACTTCAGGCTGCAGAAGGATCTTGGTTGTCCTTGGGCTGGAAAAACGGAGTATCACTTCTGCCTTCCAGAGCTCTAGGGTTGTTTGACCACCCAAGAAATAAAACTAGCTGGCTGTCAAACCAAATCTCTTCAGATGGTGGCTCCTGCATGAGGCACTGTGCAGACACAGCTGGGAATAGGCAGGCGAAGAAGTAATGAAGCCGCAGGTGACAAGCCATCAACCCCAGGGCTCATCTAGCAGCAGGGCTGTCCAGGAATTGCTCCCTGGGTTTAATCCTCCACAGAGGACTGCTTCATTCCCATGGCTTCAATTACATCCCTGCGCTCGCAACGCCTAGTGTTATGGCCCCACTTGCACTTGAATGGCTCACAGGAACCTCTGAGTCAAAGTGCCCCTACTGCATCCAGTCTTCCGCAACTGCCATGTTGGCTCCATCACAGGTACCATCAGCATACTGGCTGAGACACCCAACTGTGCCATCGTGCTGTCATTAGAATACCCAAGCCTGTAGCTCCTGCTGTCCTCACATCTCTCTGCAGTCCTACTCTCAGTCATATCCCCCTTGGTCTTGTGTTTCCTCACCTGGGGTATCAAACCTAGTTTTCTTGCCCTCATCTTCCCACATGCCTTCTGTACTACCACACTGAAACCAAAATACAGACCTGACAAGTGCTCTATTTGATGTCAACCGTCAGGTGACAGCCGCTCATCTGGAGGCTAAAGTCAAAGCTGCTCTTCAATAGGGCCACTGAGGCTATCTTCTACTTCCACTACCTGCCCCACTTCTCTGCTATTTCAGCTTCGGCTTTACCACCCTGCCTGTGAGATGTGCTGTGCCTGCTGCCAGGAGAAAGGCCCTCCTGATATATCTGTCCTTACTTCCTGGGACTCAGAGGGTCAGTCAACCTCTTGTACAGCCACTTATGGGCAAGAGAGGGTATGTCCCTCACTCTTGGTACTTGTCACACTCTATTGTGCTTGTCCCGTTTTGTCTCCTCACTGGACTAAGCTCTCAGGTAAGAACTTAAGTGTTACATTTTGGCTCCCAGTATTTGTGGACGTACTTGATGAATGAATAAATGACCAACTGTAGCAAGTCCTCAGCTTGGAGGACTCGAGAAAGCAGCTTGTATATGAGACATTTCCTTCTCTAATTACTTGTCCCAAGTTTTGACCCTGATGCCTCCCGGATTCATCCAGACCTTCCCATAGCAATTGAATCATACCAACTTTTTTTTTTTTTTTTTGGCAGCCAGCACCAATCATGCCCTAGAGGTCTTAGGGCTTGGGTGAGAGATTCCTTGGGGAGGAGAAGCAGTAGAGTTGAGCTCCCCCCCACACCCACCTTCTTTTTCAGCTTGTGCCGGGCCCGCTTGGCAGCCCTGGCGCTGTTGGGGACTTTGGGCTCCGTGCTGTTGATGAATTCCAGCAGCTCATCCACATCTCGGTGGTCCACCGCAGGCTCCCCAGGGATCCCGCCCAGGGCGCCCCCCTTCATGGGCAGCTCCTCTTTCCGCCTGGTCAGCCTCGAGCGGAGTTTCTCCCGGATCTCAGTATAATTCCGACTCGTCGGGGCAGCGGGTGGCTGGGGGAGGGGAGTTGCTGACATTACACCCTAGGCCTGGGAGGCCCATAGCACTCCCACCCGCTGGCACCAAGTATGTGGTGAGAAGCCAGACCGTTATTCTCTCTAGCATCAGCCACCAAATGACTTCATCCTCAATAGGCTCTGAGCTGAAGCAGTGGTATGTAGGAAGACGAGGGCAGAGCTCGGTGACCAAGGACTGGGGAGCCAGGGAAGCAGGTTTGAGCCCAGGCTTTATCACTAGGAAGCTGTATGACCTTGGGTAAATCACTGAGTTTTTGTGAACCTCAATTTTGTCACCTCTAAAATGAAGATAACAATGCCTAGCTCAAAGGTGACTAGTAATTTTGAATTATTTCCACCTCTCTTATCCTCGACTGCTCTTCCCTAGCCAGCAGCCTTTTCATCTTCTGAGACTTCTGAATCGCTCCCCTGTCTAGAGACAGCATGTACCCTGATCTGAGCCTCTTTCTTGGCGCCATCTATGCTCACGGCCTATACCTCGACTGGCTGTCACACTTGGGGAACTTTTTGCTTCCACTCTGCCTTCATCATGTACAAGCGTTCACTTCTCTGGGATTATACACGTATACATACTCATCAGAATCATAGCTTTCTCTCTGCCACTTCCTTTCCTTTTGCCTAAAGAAAAAAAGTCAATCTTAAGAGAAACCACGAGAAGAACACAGCCAACAAAACGTTAAGCAAACCCGACCTCACAAGTGTGCCTCGAGGCGGAAGCAAGCAGCTGTAGGTGCAAGGACTCTCAGTCCCAGTGCAGTAGTCACTACCATGAGCAAGGGGTCTCTCCGCTGCCCCTGGCTGCCCAGCCCTCTCTGCCCAGGCAGGCTCACTCACCGCATTGTGGCCGAAGAACTCACAGTAGCAGCAGTCACAGAACTTCCCATCGCGTGGGTGGGTGGAGGACGAGGTGCAAGAGCTGCGCTCAGAGCTGCTATCCTCTTCCTCGCCCAGACCCTCATCTGCCTCACAGGCCAGGCCACTGTGTGCAAATTTGTGCCCCTTGCACCCAGGGTCCCTGCTGCAATGGAGAAGGGCCCAGAGGTGAGAGTAAGTGGTGCAGGCACAGAATACAGCAGGAGCCTAGAAAAGTGTCCCAATCCCCAGCCACCATTCCACTGCCCTTCACTAGCCATATCAGGGCCTCTTGCAAAGAACAGAGCCTGAGAAGAGTCTCTACAGAGCCATCACAGTACAAAGACTGACTCTGTGTAAGCTTCCTGCAGACACCTCTTTGAGAGCACTGTGTGGATACCTCTAGCTTGCTGTTTTATCAAGCCTTGTGATAATAGGCTATTCATCATTTCTTTCAAATAGGTAGATAGACAGTATGCTACTTAAAATTCTGAAGGAGTTCCATCACACAGCAGGGCAATCTACATCCCAAGGGCTTAGGGAACAGGAATCTGAACAGACTCATGGGCAGACGGCTCTGGTACAGCCCCAAATGATCAATGAAAACAGTTTTACTCCTACTTTCCCAGGGTCCTCACAACACATTTGCATCTGGCATATGCGTCAGCCGTTAGAGAGTCTCCTGAACCAAGAGCTCTGCGATGAGAAAGAGCAGATGTGCCTCCTGGGGACTACAGACTACAAGAACCACTGCCTGGACCCAGAAACGTACTCAGCACGTCATCTAGCCATCCTTGAAGACCTGCAAAAATCAGTGCCACTCCCCATTTAACAGCTGTGGAGACTGAGGCTCAGAGCACAGCCCAACAGGTAGTAAAACACAAACCTATATTTCCCTGTGTACAGAGTCCATGCTTTCGCCACTTACATTCTGTCTCTGGACTCTGGCAATAAGTTGGGGCAACTTACAAACAACATTTTCCTAGGGTAAAGATGAGACAGGCTGAGAGGTCCCAGAATCAGAGCTGGGAAGAAACAGAGCCCTATGATGGGTCAGCAGCAGCTGGAGCACTGCAGAAGCTGGTCCCATGTTTCAGAGGAAATAAGAATTAGGTGACAGTCTAGGACAGGCCAGTGTAGCCCAAGTCTGCTGTCAGAAAGGTCAGCAAACACACGGTAGAGGTTAGAAAAAGGCAGCAGAAGTTGTTGCCAATGGTGCCTATAGTTTATTCCAAGTTCACAATTCTATTACAGTAAGCAAAATGCCGTTTAGGAAAATTAAAATATCCAGTGTTTCTGAAGATACAGACAGACCACTACTCTTTATTGGTGGTTACATGGATTCAGAGAATCCTATAAAAAGCAGTTCCCCTACCTATTCTCTTTTCTGCTAGGGATTAAACTCAGGGCCTGGTGCACCTACCCTCAGCACTCACAGGCTCCTGTGTGCTCTCTCCTCCCTCCCACTTCACTCTAGGTCTCTATATACAATTGAGGCTGGCCTCGAACTCTAGATCCTCCTGCCTCTGCTTTCCAGTTGCTAGGCTTATAGGTGTGCATGGCAGAAAGCAGTTTGCCAATGTGTGTTAAGACCCCTCCCAAGAAACAGCAACGAAAAAGTTTAAAAGAGGAAAAAGCTTTAGGCCAGGATATCTTTAGATGTTGGTTATGTTAAAATGATAGAATTACCTAAATGTTCTGCAACTGGAGACCAGCAAAATTAACTACAGTTAATATTCTCCAGCCCCAAATACTGAGCATTAAGAACAAAACACAGGAACCCAGAAGTACTAAGTGAAAACTACAAGATCCAAGTCAATACTGACATCATCAACAGCATGAGACAGACATGTGAGATGACAAAGCCAAGAGTGGTGGCAGTGGGGCAGCGAAACCCCAGACTGGGAATACAGATATATAATAGACAGTGTCAACCTAAAAATCATCTGCCTTCAGTATATTCACATCCAGATACAGACAACAGAATCACAGAGCTCCAAGGGCTCTACAGGGCCCAAAACTATTCAAACACAGGCTTAGGACGCTTATCACAACAGTATTTTTCTTGGTTAAAAATTTGGAAATGAGCCGGGCGGTGGTGGCGCACGCCTTTAATCCCAGCACTCGGGAGGCAGAGGCAGGCGGATCTCTGTGAGTTCGAGGCCAGCCTGGTCTACAAGAGCTAGTTCTAGGACAGGAACCAAAAGCTACAGAGAAACCCTGTCTCGAAAAATCAAAAAAAAAAAAAAAATTTGGAAATGAAAGCCAGGTGGTGGCGGCACACACCTTTAATCCCAGCACTCAGGAGGCAGAGGCAGGTGGAGCTCTGAGTTCAAGGCCAGTCTGATCTATGGAGTAATTCCTGGATAGCCAGGTTTATAGAGAAACCCTGTCTTAAAACACTAAAAAAATATAACAAGAAAACCCCCAAAACCAAAACAAAACATCCCCCAAAACAACAAAGAAATAAACAAAAAACCCACAAACAAAACCCCAAAACCATAGATACTTAAGTCTTAGGGAAATAACCATGATATTTAAGAAGTGTTGCTATGCAGGCCAGCGGTGGTAAGAAACACCTGTAATCCCAGCAGCAGAAGGCTAGGGCAGGAGAATCACAAGTTAGAGGCTATCTTGGGCTGCACAGCAAGTAACTGTCTCACGGCCAGGTGGTGGTGGCACACACCTTTAATCCCAACACTCTGGAGGCAGAAGCAGGCAGATCTCTAGTTTGAGGCCAGCTTGGTCTACAAATCAAGTTCCAGGACAACTAGGACAGAGAAACCTGTCGGGTGTGGGGGGGGGGGGGGGAGAAAGAACCTGTCTCAAAATGAAGAAAATAAAAAATTGCTAAAGTATTTATCAAATATAGAACTAATTATGTCATTTATATACCAAAGTATTTTCAAGAAAACAGGCCAGTTATAGAAGTTTCTCTTTAGGTTGTGAAGACCCTTCTCTTTTTCACACCTGAATTGTTCAAAACTTAAATTATAATGAAAAAACCCTTAATTTAGAATTTATGGAATTTGGCGCCAAGGTTGAGCACAGGACATCATGCACACTAAGAGTGTGCTCTAGTGCTGAGCTACTTCTTCCAGCCCAATCTGTACTCGGATTTCCATCCTAACAGTGTTCTTAGCAAGTTGCACAGCTCCTGGCTCCAGTGAGTACAGAGTGGTGCCTTTCACGACACTCACTTACCTGTGAGTGCTAGGGAGTGGCTGCGAGCTCGGTGGTGGGAGGAGAGACCCACCGCAGTGCCCACCGCAGTGCCCGCTGCAGGGGTGGTTGCACCCAGAGAATGGTGGAGGCATCTTCAGGAGTGGCATGCTGGTGGAGGGCAGATGGGGGCTCTGACAAGGCCCTGGGGGGTGGGTGGCAGTGGCAGTAGCCACAGGGCACTCTGAAGCCTGGGCAGGGAAAGGTGCTTCCGGGGTGGAGGGCAACACATGTGGGTGGGACGGTGAGCTGAAGGAGCCGGGGTTAGAAGGAATCAGAGATGCTGGATGTGGGGGATGGCCGGTAGGGCTGTTAGGGGGAGCAGTGAGGTCTGAGTGCTGGTGGTGCTCCGAGACAGGGAAAGCCTCACCTGTAGGTGGAGGGGAGAAAAAGGGGTCAGACCTGGGAAGGAAAGCCAATAGGCTCACTGCCACATCATCCTGCTTACTATGACCAGAGGTCATAGTCTCTCAGCATAAGGCCCCTGAAGAGGACATGGATAGCAGGTCTGTTGGACAAGTTTGAGAATCCGAAGCCAAGGAGGCTGTGGCTCAGCTGTGGAGTGAACAGAGGATATCTCTGCTGTTTCTCTGGGTTCCTCTAGGAGCTACCTCCTCTTAGGCATTCTTTAGGCCTAAGAAAGAAAGCTACAGCAACCTTGGGATCTGCCTCTGGGCCACATGGACCAGAGCAGACAAGGTATGGGAGGCTACAGATCTCTGACTGATGTAGGAAAAAGCTCTGGTGACTCCATCATGGACCAAGATAACTGGAGTTATGCATTCAAGTTACATAACTTTAGAACAGCACCATTTTGAGGAACTCCATCCTCCATTAAGAATTATGACAGTAACAATCCAAATTTTCCCTCTGGGTCTCTGAGCATTAGATTTCAGTTTATAAGACTCCTGTAGCCTGCATGCCACCTGCCAGTCTCCTGTGGTTAAATACAGTGCTCTACAGCTATTCCTAAGGTAGACAAGGTGTGGAAAGCCAAGGAAGCAAGGGTGGCTCAGGTTGTCAATGGTATAGAGGGCAGGTGTAGATGATCTAAATCTTACTTCCTAGGGCTTTCCTAGACCACTTGCTCCTCAGACAGTATGAGGACTTCTCCTGGACCCAATGTTAAGCCAATGACAGCAATGAGGGCATTTTTCCCCCTGTGCGCAGCATTTTATAACTCCACAGTCTTGCAGATCTTCCAGAGATAGTCAAGGTCTAGGTTGTCCCTGCTGCCATTAGAACAGGTCCATGTTTACTTACTGACTGGGTCAAAGTAGAGAGGCAAATGGCTATTTACAGAGGGGGCCCAGTACTTTCCGAAGCTTAAAGACTCACCAGGGATGGCAGGAGGGCTACCAAGTGAGCCACCTGGCACAGCCCCGCTGGAGTGTGGGGAATTCCAGAGGCCTGAGAGCTTATGTGCTGACAGGAACGAGCTGGGATCCCAGTCCCCTGAGTTGCCATGGCAGGAAGAGGAGGAAGATGAGGATGATGAAGAAGAGGACGAGGATGAATGAGAGTCACCCCCACAAGACTGTGATTTGCAGGGTGTATGTGACAAGGAAATCTGGAAAGGAGAAAGAAAAAGGCTCATGGTCAAACCGTGGAACTGACCTGCTCCTTAAGGCCCTCAGGTTATGACTGAACCAATAAGCACAAGTCACACTGGGTTATAATCAAGGGCCAAGCAAGTACTTGGAAGGGACTACCGTGTTCTCAGTTCCATGGCTGTGTGGATAGCGGGTAAAGAGCTTCTCGTGGGGCAAAGCCTGTCTATGAACATGGGCCGCTTGTGAGTATGAGGGCTGCCAACAAGACGAAAGGTCATGAATCACAAGTGTGGTTTAGCACCTTCTCCTTCCTTCCATTTATTTTTAAAAGTTTTGAGACTTTATTTTTATTTTATGTGTTTGCCTGAATGTTATGTCTGTGCACCATATGTAGACAGAGGCCAGAAGGCATCTGATCCCCTAGGACTGGAATTATAGCAGTTTATGAGCCACCATCTGGGTGCTGAAAATCAAAACCCCAGAGCACTTAACAATCTTTAGCCTGAGTCTTTCATTTATTTTTTATTTCTATTTCTAGTCTCTAGGTAGCCCTGGTTGTCCTGGAACCCACTATGTAGGGATCTGCCTGCCCCTGCCTTCCAAGGGCAAGAACTAAAGGTGAGTGCCACCACACCCAGCCCTTTCTTCTGTTTATGATGAATACCTGTGTATGTGTATGATGTGTGTTCATACAGGTGTAAGTGCACGTGCACATGTGGCACAGTGAACAAGTAGAGGTTAGAGGGCAACCTTGGATGCAGGTCCTCACCTTCCACCTTGTTTCAAACAGGGTCTCCTTGTTGGTTTGTCATTGTATAAGCAAGAAGCTGGGCAAACAACTTCCAAAGAGTATTCTGTCTCCACTTCCGACTTTACTGCAGGAGCATGGGGATTAAAGACATGCACTACCACATGTGACCTTCTCTGGGTTCTGAGGACTCACACTCAGGTCCTCAAGCTTGTGTGGCAGGTGTTTGATGCATTAGCACTGACATCTCCCTGGCCCTGCTCCATCGACATCCTCCTGACCCTCCTTTCTTTTTTATTCCCAGCACTAAGGAGTGAGTCCAGAGCTTTGCATACACAAGACAAACATTCTACCACTGAGCTACATTTCCAGCCACAAGCAAGGAGCCTTGAAAATGAATTGATTCAGAGTAAATGAAAGTCTACAGGGAAGGAAAGCAAGAAGTCTGGCTGACATGGCTCACAAACGCCAGTCTTCTACAGCTCCTAGCTATTACTGATGGCTTCGGACTGAGGCACGTCTCAGACCCTCTGACTCATCTTTGCATAGTGGTGGCCTTCCAAACAGCCTCAGGGCTGATGGTATCAGCATCAGGTGACAGCATGGGATCAAGATCTACCTACATCACTAACAGGCACAAGTCTTCTTCCTCAGGTCTAAACCAACTTGCAAATGCTAAGTGCAGCCGGATGGTTTCTCACAGCAGCTTGGTCAGAGCTTCCTGAGGTCAGGGGAAACAGCCTGACTTCCTGAAAGGAAGCAGCCCTGCATTCAGGGGTCACCTGTCAGCTGTTACCTACCGCCACTGCATGTTCTCGACCTGTCTGCCTTTCATCTTCCTCCATGCTTTTTCGGCAACTCTGGCAGACCCATAGAGGCATCTCGCCTAGGAGGTTCTTCACGAGCTTTGGCATGAAGTCAGGGGGCAGCTTCTCACCCTGCAACACCAGTCCATTTTGTGAAGGGCCTTCTTCCCAGCCTTTGCGCTCGCGGTGACACAGCAGGCAACAAGTCTGCACAGACTGACTGGAGGTGGGGGGAACCTGTCCAACACACAGACACAGGGGTTCCCAGGAGGGGGAAAGGCTGTCCTTAGAAATGATGCTAACATTATTCATAACACCACTTATTACGTGCCAGGCACTGGGATAGGCACTTTATAAACATAATTTAGCTTTAGTCCTTGTAACAGCTCTGCAAACAAGGTGTTCTTATTCCCATTTTTTTAAGATGAAGAAACAGATTTCAAGAAGTTAAATGAGTTGCCCAAGGTTACAGAGCTGGTGCATGGTTGAATCCCAGTAAATCTGACTCCAAAACTCATGCTCAGATGTCCTCAATATCAAAGAATAAAGAGAAGTGGCTTCTCCTTCTCTGAATTACCTAGGAAGGGCCACAGGTCTATGCAGGCTATAGACTAGTCCTCACCGGGAAGGACAACAGACGTGGTTTCTGGACTGCAGTGGAATTTTAGAGATGGGCTTGTAGACATAGTAAACGAGCAGGAAGACAGACCCTGGTGCTCTTCTCTTCTTAGTAAGGGTGCTGAGAAGAACCGAGACTCCAGGCCAGACACACGCACATCTCAGCCTCACCCTGGATTAGCCGATGACCTTGAGCAAGTTATTTAACTTCTCTGAGCTCTGCTTCCTACCCACCTTGCAGAGCTATGTAGAATGCTACAGGCCATAGCTCAGATCATTACTTGGTCTATTTCTTCCCCTACACAAATGTGATTCAGTCATCTAAGTTTGAAAGTTTCTTTTCATATTGGGGTCCTAACTGGGAACCTAACTATATTTATAGCCCCAATTAATGGTTTTCCTCCATTTTCCAACTCTAGTCTCCTTCCACTGATACTGCACATGACCCCGTCACTTCCTGCAGCTATACTGACAGCACCAATCTGAATAGTCTATGTACTTGTATCTTTGCATGGAAGGCCTGCCATGATCTTGTTTGTGCCTCTGTCATACCATGAGGGAATGGCCAGACTCCTGTCCCATAGGAAGGACTTGGAAAAAGTCAGCTGATGAGATCTGTGAGTGAGCCCAGCTGCAAACAGGTCTGCTAAGAGCAGCAGCAATACCCACCAAGCAGTAGACTCAGGATAGTAAATGGTACTGTTTTAAGCCACTAGGTTGCATGGTGGTTTGCTCCACAACTCTGCATAACTTTCAGATTTACCCTCCACTAGGTAATGCATTTGTAAGGGGTGCCACTGCTGTTTCATATGACATCACAAGGAGTTGGCATCAGAAGATCCTTAAGTCTGCCATGCTGCCATCACACTAACCTGAGTCCCTGGTTTCTCAAAAAAGAAAGGAACCAGAAGTGACACCAGGAGCATAATGAAACACTAGGGAAGTGCAAGGGATATGGAAAAGAGTGCCAGAGAAGACATTTTACAGTAGAATCTATAAAAGACAAAGCCGAAACACTTTGCCAAGAGGCTGTCTTGGTGTACAAGGCAGCTTCTTAATGTTAACTCATCTGCCATCCCACAAGCATGGAAAGATGATGGAGGAAAATGATTTGAGAAATTAAGGCAAAGGAGGACTTTTAATGCAAATATTTATATGTGGTGTGTATGTGTGTGCACATTTGGGCACCTGTGTAGAGTTCAGAGAACAAGTTGCTGAAGTTGCTCTCCTTCCACCATGTGAATCCTGGGGGTTGGCTGTCAAGCTTGGCAGTAGGCTCCTGTAGTTGTTAAGCCGTCTCACAGGCCCCAAAGGGGCACTTTCTGAGAACAGTACCTAGGGCATTTCTCAAAGCTGTCAGGTGAGTTGTAGTCTGTGCAGGTAGAAGCGGGACTTTGTTCCCAGTGAACAGCAAGAGTGTCACAGGCAGCAGCAGGATGGGGGAGCTTCACAACAGCTCTTGTCTCACCTGGGCATGAGCATCCTAAAATCATTACATGGGTTGTTGTTGCTGGGTTTTCTTCTTTGTTTTAGTTTTAGAGACAGGGTCTCATGAAGCTCAGGCTGGCTTTGAACTCATCATGTATCAAAGGGTGATTTTGAAGTCTTCATCTTCCTGCATCTATTCCTAAGTGCTGGGATTATGGGCATGAGCCAGCATGTCTGGCCATGAGAAATACTTTGAAAAGAATGAAAATCTTCTTTAAATAAATCTTTTCTCTCTTAGTGCTAGAGATCAAAACCAGGTCCTATGTATTTAAATCTCTTTACAGTCTATAAAGTAGAACAAACAGGGTTTTTAAAAATGTTGGGTTTTTGTGAGGCTTTCTTTTCTTTTTCTTTTTTGGAGATAGGGTCTATGTAGCCCAAGCGTGGTCTGGAAGTCACTATGTAGGTCAGACTGGTCTTGAACTCAGAGATCCACATGCCTCTTCTTTCCAAATGCTGAGACTGAACGCATGTGTTATCATGCTGGCTAATTAATGGTTTTGAACAATAATTGAATTGCATAATGAATACCCCACAGTACAAAGACTGCCTTCTCAGAGATCTCTCAGGGCTGGACAGATGGCAACGGCTAAGAGCACTGGCTGCTCTTCCGGGGCACTTGGGATTGATTCCCAGCACCAACATGGACGCTCACAATCATCTCTTAATTCCATTTCCAGGGTGCCCAATGTCCTCTTCTGGCCTCTGCTCTCACCAGGCATGCACATGGTGCACAGTCATACATGCAGGTAAAACATTCATACACATACATTTTTAAAAAATGTTTTCTATATTCTTTCAAAACCAAACATGGAATTCTTTAATCTGAGCATGTGACAAATGTGACTGTTGCCAGAGTAACTGTGAGTGTGCTGTGGTGCAGGGGACACTGGCTTTGCTAGTCATCCTGAGCTACCATCACTCCATCACTTAAAGCTGGATGATACTGGCCGGTCCTACCTACTCCTCTGCTCATCTAACTTGGGATTAAGTCCTAACTTACAGGGTCAGTTTTGAGAACGGAATGTGATAAAGAGCCGCCACCAGTGCTGAACAGGTAGCACGAGCTCCATGACAGGGACTGTTAGGGATATTTCCTATGTGGAAACAGTATGTAGTCACTCAATTTTACACGAATAAGAACTTGTCATATACAATGAATGCAAGATGACTTGTTTGGTATTGCTTTTGTGTGTGGGAGGAGGGTTGGGGACCGACAGATATGACTGACACTGTAGTCAAGGCTGCCCTTGTAACAAACCTCCTGCTTCAGCTGTCTAAGTGCTAGGATTAGTCATAAACTTCTATGCCTGGTGTCTGTTAAACATCTTAACTTCTGCTTTTAACTCCACAATATCAAATGCTTAAGTCCCCGAAATACTCTGCACTTACCTACCTCTCCCTTTGCTAAAGAGTCTTCTACTTAAGAGCCTTTTATACCCATTTTCCTTAAAGGCCCCACACAAATCCACACACTCTAGACAATCTAAGAGAGTTCTCTTATAACCACCTCTCTGCCCTATGCCCATCCAGGACACTGTGCTATTTATTTCATTTATTTTCCTGTCTTTTTTTTTTTTTTTTTTTCCCATTTGGAGACAGGGTCTCTCTATGTAGCTCACTATGCAGACCAGGCTGCCCTCAAAGTCACAGATCCTCCTGCCTTCCCAAGTGCTGGGATTAAAAGCTTGTGCCACCATGCCCAGCTTCATTTTGGGTGCAGACAGCACAGCAGAGTACGGCAGATCTGTGAAGTATCCTCATGGCATCATAGCTTGCCTTGGTGAGACCATCCCTGAGAACTGCTTGCTACAGAGCAGGTAGGTCCTCACCTCTCTATCCCACCCCTTCTACCTGTGGTTCCAATTTCAAACAGGGAAAAAAATGGGAGCCTGCAGTCTTCAATGATTACAGTGTGCTCCCAGCAAAGGAAACAGTATGACTCCTTGTAGCGCTAAATTAAGCCACAAAATAAATGAACTAGCCATTAATGAAAGTCACTCTATAGGGCAGGCTGTCTTTCCTAGTAAAGGAAGAAGCGGACATGGAAAGCTAATTAAGCTTTAACTGAAGCAGGGACACCATCTGCATTGCCCAGAGTTGCCCAGAGGGCTAAGCGACAATAGAAAAAAACATTCAGCTAAAGGGATCAAGACAGTAAGTACTTAATTTATAAACTAGGCTCTTTGGATGTTTTGTTCCTAACGAGTCTACACTAGGGACTGGCTATCCACGGTGCTCTCTTAAGTTTAGTATACTTTTCAGGACCATGCAGTTTGGAGTGGCTGCCCCCAAAGCCCCAATGTGCTATGGGGTGAGGAGATTTTATGTTTCTTTTCTTGTTTTAAGAAAAGATCTCAGCCTGGTGTGGTGGCACACACCTTTAATCCCAGCACTTGGGAGGCCAAGGTAGCTAGATCTCTGAATTTGAGGCCTGGATGGTCTACAAAGCAAGTTTCAAGACAGCCAGGGCTACACAGAGAAATTCTTGTCTAGAAAAACCCAAGGTGGGTGTCTCATTATATAGTCCAGGCTGCCATGGAATTCACAATCTTCTTGTCTCAGCTTCCTGAGTGCTACAACTACAGGTGTGAGCCACCATACCTGACTGTCTCTGATATTTTCATCTCTGCTTTAATTTTTATTTATTTTTTAAATATTTATTTTACTATCTTTAATTATATGTATGTTTACAAGTGCTTTTGGAAGCCAGAGGTACTGGAGATAATTATAGGCAGTTGTGAGTCACCCTAATGTGGGAGCTGGAAATCAAACACAGGTCCTCTGCAAGAACAGTACACACTCTTAACCACCATGCCATCTTTCCAACTTTAAATTTTAAATTACATTCAGAGTGTGTGTGTGTGTGTGTGTGTGTGTGCACATGGCTGAAGGCTGGAGACCAACTTTCAGGGTCAGACTCTCTTTCTACTATGTGGGTCCAGGAATCCACAAATCTTTTCCGCTAAGCCCTCTTGCTGGCCCCACAACTCTGCTCTAAGAATCCCAAGACCTAGAAATGCTACAGGTCCTTCTAATCAATGCTATGGCTGAGAAAAGCTTTTGGTTAGGGGTTCTTCTGACAGCAATCTGTTATTTTTTTTAAATTTTAGCAAACATGGCCCCTTATG